TGTTGGCGTGTAAATTCTACATATATATGTACTATATAAATATGCACTTCTTTTCGATATTACTTGCCACTAGCTATTTTCTATTCTTGAAATAATATTCAAACTATAGCATTTAGCATTTGCTGCTGCTGAAGGCTAAGGCAATTCAAGCATTCCTATTTATTCTGGAGGAGTAACAATTTACTGGTCACACATTTTAAGTTTATAAAATTTAATCGACTTTTGGTTTTATTCACATATTAATACTGTTTAATTATATATTGTAATATAATAAATTTGATCAGGGTCGACCCCTTTACTTTTACTTTTTTCTTTACTGACGTAGCACAATTATTAGCTCGTTTCAAACTAGTACAAATAAAGTTTAAGTTAAAGAAATTTTTACACCCTTGAAATGCACCTGTGCAGGGTTTCTAGCGTATTTTTTTCTCATATTTTAGCTTTGAATAATTTAAAGCATAATTTTTGTTTTGAATATGAATTTTTTGAGTAATTTAATTAAAACAGACTGTGCTAAATGTATTCTCGCACATGCTTACATACAACCAACCTTTTCCAAGAATTTTACGCAGCGTTTCAATGAACATTCGCCATTATTTGCAATTACAAAGCTGAAGGCAAAATCATTTGCATATTTCAGTACCAAAAAAAAAAAAAAAAATTATAAAAACTGAGAAAAAAAATCACTACTTTTCATTGCGACTAGATGTAAAATAGACATTTTAATTACGTGTAATCACAAATAAATATTTTGGATCAATATTTTTACATAGAATTAATTTTTTGGTTAGTCACGCGCTCTGGTTTTTTTTTTTTTTTTTTTTTTTGTTTTTTTTTTTTTTTTTTTGTTTGATGCCTAAAATAGTCTTTAATATCTTTATATATTTCCGAATTTTACAACTTAAACATGTATTTAACTCAGCTTGTTTATAAATGCATAAACAGAATTAAGCCCCAAAAACCAAAAAGAAGCCTACAAAAAACACTTGTGCGCCACATGCCAGTCCTT